TAATACTCATTTACAAGTTGTGTCCTCCAGGATTGATACATGCAGTTGCTCGTGCATTCGTACAAGAACGTATGATTGATCTATACGTCCAACTGTTTTGGAAAGAACTGGCCACAGGAAAGGTTATCAAACATCTGATCAGAACACGGCAATCGCTGACCGAAAGCGTGACAGCCGCGTGCACGACGATCAGAACAAGAAGCAGCACTTGCAAAACACCAGACTGAGCAACAACCGCCAACCGCCAACCACCAGCCACCACCCACCACCCAGCACCCTGCAACAAAGACAACAACAACCACCACCACCACCACCACCACCACCACGACAACCACCACGACAACAGCAACAAACACAATAAGACTTGATAAGTAACAATTGAGAACAAAGCAGCAGTGTGGTTCTTCTTCCGGTTGGAAGCAGGCCATCCAGTATCACCAACAAGCATTGCTGTTCAGAGGGCAGGGTCATGAGTGTTGCTGGGCGGGCCTGTGACATGTCCATAGGCATGCACATAGGCCTCGGAAACTAAACGGTGATAAGCGGGGATTCGAGAGTCGCGAATTCAAGCAGGTCAAATCGCCAGAGGAGAATTGCCAGGGCCACAGCCAACCACAGCCAGAGATTGGGTCGTACATGATGGTCTTAGCGAGCACATGCCAGTGCATTGCTGCATCGATGACCGGTATTTCGAGGTTTGGACCGGGACACCATAGTACGACATATCCTGGCCGTCGTAGCCCATGCCTTCGCAAGACAGTGGGTCGGAGGCCTAGCGTAAACCAGGACCCATGTAGTTCTTGCTTGCCTGCCATCATCATGGCTTCATCGCCCATGTATGCAGGTGGGAGGCACATCTCCTCCTCTGCGTTCATCCTCACGACCAGACCAAATAGTAGACATCGAGCGCTGTTCAAGATGCAGGCAGCTGAGATCAGAACCCATATCCCTCATTGAGTGGAGGGACCTCAATCGACTCCGGGCAAAACTTGAGTCGAGCCACTCGACGCAGCTTGCCACTTCTGGTGTCTCAGCACTCGAGGGCCAAGCTTCAGCTCCTTCCATGGGAGCTGGTCGCATCACAGGTGACCTGAAGAGCGAAGCTAAGAGCTGCTTGCACTACGAGTAACTCCCCCAGAGTCCGCGTGACACGACATTCATATCCGGACAGATTCGGGCAACGTTGACTTGATGATTGTGCTGCCCAGTCCAGCTGTCTTACTAAGACACTCACGGGGTGTCGGGCACGAAGGATGCCTCTTTTGAATTTCCCTGTCAGCAGATGGCATGAACAAGACAGTCCGCAAGCTTTCCTTCTCTTCTTTGATACTTTGGATGCATGGATCCGGCGTCCACTGCTGCATCTGATCAGCTGCATGCCCCCTCAATTGCATGAGGCTTCCACCCGAGGCGAATTCGTGCCATTCATGGTGGGCCTGCGTACAGGAGGAGCTAGCCACGGGCGCGCAGGCTGATCGAATCATACACTGAGGGCACGGCGCCCGTGTTGGGGCCAACTGCGGTGATGGAACCTGTCAGTTCAGTCAGGATTCCAGGAATTCACGGAAGCATGCCACCTCCCTGGTCTTGCAGATGTGTCCGAATCGCAGTCGGCAACGCCGGGTGACGCTTTTTGCGACTTGCAGCAACCAGAAGCATTGCGGCAAGAATCCACCCCTCCTCTGGCCGGGGAGATTCTTTGAAACACTGGCACTAAAGTCACTAAAGAGGCATCTCAGAAGCCATGTCGGTTTGACATTATCATGAGCAGCTGTTGGAACTCTTCCAGCCTCAGTTCCGTCTAGCTCGCTGACTGACCGGAAGGAGGCAGAGGAGGAGCCTTGACACAACTTCCTCCCACTCGCCGACGAGAGATCCACCCCGACCAGAACAATAAACTCAGAAAATCGAGTCAAAGTATGGTTCACGACAGGATTCTCACCCATACAAGAGACTCCTGAGAAATCAAGACACCGCCGCTGCGAAAGGTGATCAGACACGATGACCCTCGTCATATTTCTTTCTTTTGAAGCATCATGGTCATAAGCATCATCATCATCACCGCCATCATCATCATCATTAGTCTTTCCTGGCTCTGTGCATCCTGAGGACGACAGCCTCTCATCGTGATCCTTGGAATGCACAAACTGCGAATTGCAACAGAGACGCTAGAGCCAGAAAGATAGTTCTTCCATACCGCTAATGCTGGCGGTCAGGTGAAGGCTAACTGCCTAGCTTTCAAGCTTGTTGTGGTCTGCTCGGGCAGTCGATTCCGAGTTTCCAAATCCACCCGCGCAACGTTCTCCTTGCACGACGCCTGGAGTCTTCGCATCTCGTCCTTGGCTCGGACTTGATGGAGTTGTTCGCTATTTCTTGCTGACGCTTGGCCATGTTCATGACCCGCAGCCGAGCAGATTGCTCGGGTTTTCAGCACCCCTCACATAGCCAGATCTCCCAGGACCATCCCGGAAGTGTCATGTGACGTAAAGGAAGAAGGCTCGCCAAGGCTCCGGGCCCCTGGGCCTCACCGCCCGAGCACGCGCCGCCACGGAGACGAAAGCCTGCCGAGCTGGGTCAAGAAATTGATTGAAGTACTGTGAGACTGCTTGAAGCTTGGAGCTACAATTCTTGGACAGGCTCTGTTCTCGACCGGACACCGGCCGCTCATGGCCTACCCCAGGCCTCCTCGAAGGAGAGTGTGTGGAGAAGCCGCTCCTGGCTCATGGCATCTCATGCCGTTTCCGTTCAAGTCTCAAAGCATGCGCAGTCCTCGTCATGCAAGGCCGCATTCTTAGCATCGACTCCTGCTACATGCTCGCCCAGTGCCTCAGCTGCCATGCAACATATATCCAATGTGGACTCTTGTCGAGGCAGACCTTGTCACAAGGCTTGAATCAATAGAGCGACTTGGATATGAGAACCCGATTCTGGCCAAGCATCGGATGTCAGCGCGATCAAGACCTAAAGGCACAGTCTGCGCACCCAGGCCAACATCTACGAACACATCTACACGTCCGACCACTCATCTACTAGCGCGTCTGCTTTGCAATGCCTCCTTCCTTCTTGATTCATCTAGCTAGCTTTCTGTGTTCATCTCTACAACACTTGCTCTCTGCCTCTCCACACATCCAACTCTTCGTTTGTTTTTTTCTGAGTCAGGAGAGCTGCAGCTTCATGAACTTTCGCAACTCTTGAGACGTTGTGTAAACGCTGAGCCGTTTCGAACTCTCTCTGCTTCTTGGGGCAAGCTCGCACTGCTTCCTCTTACCCCGTATCAGGGCACCCCGGAGACCTTGCACCCTCGGTGCACATCCTAATTGGGCGAAGGGTGTCCTGATCGAACAACGACACGATCCAAGCCCAACTTGCAATAGAGTGGCTTACTTCACGTACCCCTGCCCTGCCCCGCCCAGCCCTGCCCTGCCCTGCCAATCTCAAAGCATGGCTGCGAGAATAAACCTGTGCAGAGAGTCTGGGAGTATCAGGAGCTTCATTGGCTGCAGAGCCAGCGCAGCGCAATGGGCTGCTTGCAGAGTCGCATGAACCGCGATTGATCCCCAGCTTCCGTCTGGAAGTTTATGGTCACACTAACGTGCTGCGAGAGTACCTGCTGTTTGCCATTCATAGCCCGATCGACTGGCGATGCAACGTGGTACAACATGGATTGTCTGATTGACTTTAGCAGGCAACTGCTCTGAGCCGCGAAAGCGCATCAGCGCGAGAGTGACTCGGTCTGCACTACCCCGTGCATCGAAGAAGAAACCAAACACGAGAAGGACTGCCCTGTAAGTGGCTCGCCTGCAGAGCTGCGAACATGTTCAGATTCTCAAAGCACCCCACAGCGAGACCCCGCCCGCGCCTTCAGCAGCTCTGTGGCTTCGCTGCGGGACCGACGGGCACGGAGGTAGCTAAACTGCGCGGGGGCAGCGAGTCTCACAGCGGCCGCATAGCTCTCCCTGTGCTCTCCCTGTGCATCAGCCCAGGAGAGGCCTTCCAAAGCCCTTTTGCTGCATCTGGACGCTAGCTTGCTCGCGTTTTCTGTGCCTGCCGCCCGTACGGGCGCTTTCAGGCGCTGTTACAAGGAATTTATCGGGGCAATGACTTGAGTAGCTTCAGCGATTCCCGGGTGGAAATGCCAGATCATCGCCCCGATATTATGAGGTGGAGGTCTCTCTTCGAAAACCTCGAGAATGCTGTTCAATCGAAAAATGTTCGGTGTAGGTCGTCGTAAAGAAGGGCCGGTGAAAGCCAATGCCGGTCAAGGACCTCCAATGCTGACGCAGACTTGGACTCTTTGGCAGCACAGACCTAGTGGCTGCCGTTGCAGAAGATGGAGCGGCTTCACTTCGGCCCTTCCACACACGCTAGTGCTCATCCCAGGGGCCAAGCAACACACATCATGTAAAAAAGGGAATCAGCCACAGGCTCAGAGCGAAGTTCACTGACTGATTGTAGAAGGTGGCACCCAGAAAACAACTCAAGCATTGCTGTCATCGATGGGCTGCTAAAAGTGCCCAGAAAACTTGAAACAATCTGGTTGCCTGTGGTTTCGAAAGAGTCGCTGGCGTGGTTTCACAGGCAGCAATTATTGCATGCATGGATGCCACCATTCTTCTGGATTGCAACTGATCTGTGGCCTATGGGTTGTAGCACCTGGCGACTCTTCGTACAGGCAGCTGCTCGAGACACAGCAGAATTGCAGTTCGCAGCTGTGCTGTGCCGTGCCATCCGCACGTCTACTCGGTCTTGGCCTTGGTTGCGACATGTTGAGCTTCTTATGGAACAACAGCTGCGACCCTTTACGAGACAGCAGCGGGATCCAAAGCTGTACGTAGAATGACGAAAAGCGACAACGTGCCCAATCTCGCCCTCCCAGCGGACATGGCACCGTGACGGAAACTCTCTGGTGCCACAGAAAAGGACGAAAGGACAGACATGAAAGTACGATGCACTCAATGAGAACCCTCTCTTTTGATTCACTCACCGCTGGGGCCCGGGGCCCGCTTCCCCTTCGGCTCCCGGTAGGCCAGGCGAAAGCCGTGGCGGGAAGCCTCGGAGCCACTTCCGTTTCCGGCGCGCGTGCGCGTGCGCGTGCGCGTGCACGCGTGCAGGCACGAGCAAAAAGAAAAAAGTCGGGAAGGGGATGCAGTTGAACCTGTCTCCGTCGATGGACAAACTTCCGAAGTTCCGAAGTTTCCGTCACTTAAACGTCTCGGAGGGTCAAGACGGCACGGCCGGCCTTGTCCCACCATCCTTCGACCTCGTCAACCTCCACCTGGTGCAGGTGGAAAGCAACTTGGAAGTAGATGCTAAAGAAGCACCGATTACCTGATCTTGATGTGCGGGATGACAGTGACAAAGCACCAAGTCTTCCTGCCTCGCCGAGTTCATGTCTCTGGGTGTCCTCCCGGGCATGGATGACGGCTGCCTCGGCTGTCACTCTCAATGGATGCATCTCATTGCACAGGACATCCCATCCTCCGTGCGTCCGCCCCCGCCCCGAAAGCATCTCCAAAACCTGAGGCCTTTGCCGCCATGCATGCCGGAACCGTGTTCGGCACGTCGTGACAGAAGGTCAGGTCCGTCTCTTTCAAACCTTCACAAGACCAGCAGTCAGGTGAGTTGTCTCCAACGTGGCTCTTGCAGGGATTTGGGAAAGTATCAGTCCTGGGGTTGCTTGGGACCCGTGATTTCCGAAGGCTGTGACAGATGCGAGCTGAGGCCACGGCTGTAGCTCAGCGCTGCACCATTGACGTACCTGTAGTCCTTTGCCACCTCCTTCAAAGCTGCAAAGCCAGCCACTCAGAATTTGAGGCATCTTACCAGCAAATAGCCCCACGACAAAGAAGTCCTCGCTGACGTGTGGAACAGCGAAATCGATGATCAGTGAAGAAGGAGGAATTAATGCCTCTCGGCAAAGTACCCAACTCTCTTGTGTCATGGTATTGTTGAATGGTGGCCTGGATCCGCTTTGGCTCCATCCACTTGCCCAAGATCCACACGCCGCAGCCCACACCTTCTTCGTACGTCTGGACCTGAGCTCGTTTGGTCCGTAACCCTGGGCGTCATTCCAGCTCAGGATCAATATGGGTCAATCACAGGAAGAGAGCCTGCCAGACAAGGGGGGAGACAGAGAGAGAGAGAGAGGGAGAGAGAGAGCGAGAGATGTAAAGTGTAAAGAAAGAAAGAAAGAAAGAAAGAAAGAAAGAAAGAAAGAAAGCAAGAAAGAGAGAGAGAGAGAGAGAGAAGGAAAGAAAGAGGGAGAGAGAAAGGGAGAAAGGGAGAGAAGAGAGAAGTGACAGAAAAGAGAACCAGGCTGAGACGGAGTGGAGCGACACAAGATAAATGTCGGCACACATGTGGCCCCGGCCCTTACAAGGTTCTTTCCGAACTCCCCTGCCTGCAGAGGTCCAGAGCCACAGCTGACCATGTGCTTTCGTCGGATGCAATGGCACTTACGTGTTGGTATCCCGAGTCTGCACATCACTCTCGTCCCGAAGTTTCATGCACCACCGCCTCTCCCTTGATCTTCTGGAAGCGCTCCTCGCATCCGGTGATCATCCTGACCTGTCTGAGTCGGGCATGGCATCTCAGTGCCATCCCTTGCATGTGCTTGCGCGACCGAGCGCCCTGGGGCAGACGCGGTGTGGCCACGTCGCGCCAGGAGTATGCACAAGGCTCTTCCAATCTTCGAGGTGGATCCCGCAAAGACGATCTCATCCTCGCGAGGCAGGAGCGGGGAGGCTGTCGGAGCCTGCAGTTGGTACAACAAGGCTTTAAAAAACTCGGGAGCGCTTGAATCTCGAGACACTAATCCGCTCGTGGGACCCTCTTAGCTTCGATTTCGCTTTTGTGGTCTCCTTGGGCTGCGTGTGCTCCTGGAGTGCCTGCCAAGATGTGGTTGGGCTAAAGTTCGGATTTCAATGCAAATCACCCCAGACCGTCCCCCGTACCTGCCAAACTGCGGCGGCCGTGAGCGTGTTGCCATGCACGATGCGAATCTTCCGGTCGCCCAGGAGTGGCAAAAGGTCTTTGCCTTGTCTAGCCGAAGATGCAACAACCATCCGTGGGCTCCGGTGACAAAACAACCGCAGGGGGTTGCGTCCACAAGTAAAGGAGAGCAGCATGTAACGCTTCCTGTCAGTAGCACTCCTTGCAGCATGAAGCCGCGCACCATCCTCAGGCCAAGACCTCCTTGATTCAGAAACTCGGCCTGAAGAAAGACTGAGCACAGGGTACAGACTACTTCGAGACATCGTCTTCTCCCCAGAGATCAGGCAGGGAAGGAGCCTTGTTCAGGTGTGCCAATCCCAGGTACTTCACGCCGGCATCATCTGCGTCTTTGACGGCCTTCGGATAGCGCACGATGCTTGCAGCAACTGCCCTCTTTGCTGCTTCGAACCCTTAGCTGTCGGACAGCTTCTTTCACTACTCACATGCCTGCACCAGCATGTCAAAGATCGGCTTCCTGGCTCGAGCCGGTGCTAACGGCTGTCTCTTCCCCCCTTTGAAGCAGCGACTTTGCCTGTGCGACTTCATGAAGTAGAAGTGGCCCGTCACAGGCAGGCACCTTCCATGTCACTTCTGTGGGCAGGGACCAACACGCTTCAGCCCAGTCTGGCATGCCGCCCAGCCGCCAGGTAGCACACTGAGTGCTACGGTAGTGATAGCCTTGCAAAAGCTGCACGCTGATCCGCAACATGAAAGCGTGGGAGTAGGACCGGAGTTGTTAAAGTACGGGTTTGGAAGGGTCAAAGCGCGAGTTTGCGGAAGGGAAATGGAAAGCAGAGCAGAATCGATCGAGGACTTCAGGAAGCCGGTAAGTAGACACAGTAGAACAGTCCCAAGCACACTGAGAAAATGTTGGAAACGTCTGTGCGTGGCTTCGTTGGCTAAGCTCAGTGCGCTGTACGCAGGCGGTGGACAGGCAGTGCCGGCAGAAAAGCACCTTCCAGTTGTGGGGTGTTCCCCGAAACGAAAGCCTTTGCTCTGCGATCTGCGAAAGCGTTTCCGAGGCGTTTGCCCAGAGGAAGGTCAGTGGCTGCAGGGGAAGCATCCACCATCGCTGCTCGTGCTGATGGGAAGCCAAGAAGGGAGACAGCCTAGCCGGGAGCCACTGGCAGTCGCGTCTTTCTGCATGAGACGTGTGTCCTTCCCTTTCTTGGGACGGAACCATGGCAGATGCAACCTGGATCGAGCCGAGCAGATCCGAGACCAGAATTTCAGATTCGGACTACTGCGAGTGTCTGGAGAGCATTGCCCGGACCACGGCTGGGGACTCTGGCATGGAGTGAAGGCCATGTCCATGCGCCAGGAACACAACGTCGAGCTGTCGGCTCTTTTGGTGCAAGACCTTTGCCACGGATTTCACAATGCCAACAGCCCAACATATCCCGTCACCATGCATGGCCTCCTGGTGCAGGGACTCGGTCGTCGGATGAACTGTGCCTCGGTTCCAAAGCAAGAGGTCGCACCCAGGGCCAAAGCCTCTGAAGCTGAGACGAAGGCCACCAAGGTAATCCCAAATCGGACAGAAGAGGCAGTAGTTGTACTTATACTTGCCTGAGTTTCACAATCTGCACTCAAATCAGAAGCGGCTCGTCTTCGCGGGTCCTCTTAGTCACACATGCCTTGAGTCCCCGGCTGTGATGCAGGGAATGGTACGAGGACGTGTAGACAAAATATTTCAGCGGCCCGGTCTGCACAGGAAGGCTGACTAAGGGATGCCCATGACATACGTACGCACTCGCAACCACGGAATAACAACACCGACGACGGCGACGACGGCTGCCTGCCTGTGCCCAAGTTGGCATGCACTCAAAGTTGCAGTGGCCAATGCAGTTCATGATGTCGAAGAACACAAAGTAAATCGGAATCTCGGGAGCGACACCGACAGCTACAACGCACCGCCCGCCAGAGCTTTCTTCCGAGGGGCCAAAGCGGGTGAGAAGCAGCCAAACCAGCCGGGCACCAGAAACCTTGCTTTGCATGGAGGGACACAGGTTTGTGTGGCTGGTTGGTGTTACGACTTCTTGTGGCTTCGGAATGAGAGAGGATCGACACAAGGCACAGCCCTTGACTTCTGGGTTCACTTTCCGACATGTCGCGAGAGCTGGCGGCAGCTTCATGTTATTGAGCGGTCGCTTGCGGCGACGGTGGTGAGGCTCAACCGTCTGGGCTTCGTGTCTGATCATGCATTTACTGCCGTCGCAGGCCGTTTTTTCTGCAGCCTGAGAGATGTCGCAGGGCATCACAGGAAGCGCTTCCTGGATGCGAACTGCCCTGTACAGATTTACCATCACCACGCCTCTCAAACAATGGGCGCAGCTACACCTGCGCAGTTCGTGGAGGCCCTGATAACGACCGAACGAGCCGACACAGGTATTCCATGTCAGCCTTCTGCTCTTGTTGCATCTCCTGAGACATGAAAAGGCACATCTGGACACTACACACAACTCAAGTTTCTTGGGCACTTACAACAGAAGAACACTGCAACAACATGTTGCCGCGAGGTCCGAGGAACGTGTACCATCTCCTGCACAGATTTGGTTGCAAGTAGCGCAGCCACAGTGTCGCTTTTCCTTGGAGAGAGCGAGCTGCTTCATCAAGTCTCTCCACATGGATGCTTGTCCGCGCCACGTGCCGGCTATTTCTTGCAAGCGACTTCACTTCGCCGCGTACTTTCAGCAATCCATGCACAAGCTCCGCGATGTGCAAGGCCCCGGAGTCGTCCGCATCAATGATTTCGAAACTGGCGCTGAGTGCTGGGCGTGAATACACGACACGAGACGACACGAGACCAGCTACGAGAGCAAGACTAAATTCTGGCAAAGAACAGATTGGCACGATCAGGCGGCAGATCCAACTGGTTCATTAGATGCTGCACCTTGGAGAGTCAAATACAGCTGAAGCCCCGTACTTACGATAAGAGTGAAAAGACATGCCACTCTACGAAAGCTGGGCACCTCCCGATCTTGGATCGCCATCAAGAAGCACTCCTTGTTAATGGCCAAGTCTTCGTGCACGTCTTCGTCGCTGAAGCGTGAGCTCTTCGTCGTTTCTAATATGTCTATAGTCTTCTCACGATGGTCTTCATCCTTGTGCTGCTCTAGCCAACGATGTGCGGCAGCGAAGCGCTTCAGCAGTTCCCGGGTTGTGCGAGCGACTCGGATCGACTCGCGGAAGTGCTGCTCAGCTGTGAGCGCCTCAGTTTCCTTCGCGGCCTTCATCGTGATGTCAACATAAACAGCGAGGATGACCTGGCCCGTCATCATAAATAGAAACGCCGTCTGGCCCGGCAGTGTCGTTGCTGCTGGTACCCGTTTGTATATATGTATGTGTATATACATATGAACATACATACACATATTAATGCTACCACCCCCCCCTCAAGGATCTACCGTTTTCGTGTGTTTGAAAGCCGTAGGCAGAAGACATGGAGATTCGTACGGATTTGTACTTGCGTGGGCATGACGTTAGCATTGCATGAAAAAGACTCGACAGCAGGGGTTCTTCTTTTCAGCAGAGGAACTGGTGAGAATGCAAAGAGGTTGCGACTGCGAGGCGGGTGTTGGACAGTCGTAGTTTCCGTTGTGCCTGAAGGGCCCTAGCAGCCAGCATTGATGACGACCGTTCAGCACCCAGGCTTGCTGACGATGTTGCACATGTACTCCTCCAAAAGCTGGCCTGCACATACCCACAAGTCCTCGTTTCGGTACCAATACTCATATTGGGCACTGCGGATCTGTGCTGCCAGCTGTTTGGAGGAGGCCTTACCATGCTGATTGAGGCGGAGACGCTCCTTTATGAAGGCTTGACCCATACCCACTTCATGCCTCTCTTGATGCGCCGCTTTTTGTGGATCACGGCATCGTGCAACATGCCCTCCACCTTGCTACGGTATGACCGGGCCGAATCCGAATGCAAGATGACGCGCCTGTTTTTCAACCACTTCTGGGCAACAGGAGTCCAATCCACCTTGCGAATCGCACCCGGTCCCGGTGCTCGCGGCACTGTGGTGGCAGGATGAAGCTTGAACAGCATCAGGGTTTTCGGATTACCACGCTGCACAATGCCTCCCCATTGTTCCCATGCCTCCAAGGCTTCAGGGTTCGCTTGTCGAAGCATGCCTCGTCCACCTCGACGTCTTTCCATGCCTTGGGATCTCCACCAAATTTGATGCTCTTCTCAACCTTTGTGACGTGACCGCTGCGGACGAGGTTGAGATTGTGGTTCATCCTCTCGACTGCTTTGTGGTTGATGTTGGTGAGCAGGTGGATGGTGGAAAGCGAAACTCCAGCCAGACGAAGAAGAAGTGCGACAGCTTGTTGTACTTGGAGACTGTGCCCTTCGGGACCACGAACCAGAGTGAAGATGGGGTGCAGATGAAGCGGATACACAAACTTCTGGCAATTCTTCTTGTTGCACCGGTATGCCTTGGTATCCCTTTGAGATCTGGTAGACAATGGTCCCAGGACGCCCTTGTTGCAGAACGGACAGACACAGCCCTCCCAATTCGGCGGGAACTTGTCCTTCATAAGGATGTCCAAGATTTGGGTGTCCGTCGCCTTCAGGGTATATATGTCGTTGTAGTGCAGGTACCCTTGGTCGTAGTCTGCACCCCCTAGGCGTCCAGGAGGACGCCCAAGGAAAGGAAGGGGAGGAAGAAAAGGAAACCGAAGGAAAGGAACTGCGACCAGAGCCGACAGGCAGCAAGCGCAGAGCCAGGTCCGTAGCTGAGGTCAGACGACCTGAGGAGCACCTTAGCAGCCTTAGCACAGCAAGAAGCGTCGAGACGGGCAGGTCTTAGCCTCACCTAAAACACGGGAGCCGAAGCTCCGTCGCAGACAGCCGGGCCACTCAGGCCTCAGACTGCCCGTGTCTCCCCCTCCAAAGAAGCTGAAGAGCCTCCGACATGTGGTTCACTGTATGCGGCGTGCGGGCCCAACCTAGTCGAGCTTCCAAAGGACAGCTAGGAATGCGAGCAGGCCGTGTTGCAGCGGTGTGCGGACAGTGCCACATCAAATGAGCAAACGTGCCAGGCGCATTACTGCAGAGCGAGCAAAGGCCAGTGGCCCGCTCGCCACTCTTGAACAGCCACATGTCACTGACAACCATGCCCAAGAGGACGTTTCTGTGACCCGGACCGAGGGCAAGGAAACCTCGAATCTTCTCGAAGTCAACAGCATGGAAAGCCTTAAGGATGTTGTTCTCACCATGAGCCTCATGCATCTCCTGAGCTTCATGCCTATGCCTGACAGTATTGCCATGCAGCCATTCTAAGAAACGAGCCCGGTGCCATGCACGCCTAAGGGCATGAAGGTTGGCATCCAGCAAGGCCTGATTACGCAGGTCGACCTGCGCATGTGCATGGGCGCACTGCTCACGCACGAAAAACTGGTGAGTCCACTGCCAGGGACCTGTCTCTCGCCAATGATGCTTCTTCATCCAGCGACGGAGGAGCCCACAAGTGGTCCCAGCAGCAACCTCCCACTGAATGCAACCGCGCTGCAGCATGTTGCCTGCCCTGCGAGCCAAGCGGCCGGCCCACACCAGGTTGAGATGTGAAGAGGCTCCGTACAAAATCATCCTTACTCGGTTGTTGGCCATGCGACAGGCCGCATGGCCCCAAGTGCAGATGTTGAACAGGGAGTTCGCCTCAGTCAACCGGGCTGTTTGCCCATCCAACCGTAGGCCGCGACGCCTTGGACCAAACTATAGAGGTGGCCCCGACCAGGCGCGGCAGGTGGAGCCTCGCGAGACACAGTAGATCGGCACGGCGCTTTTGGCCCTGCCAAGCCTGTGAGCTGCATCCCAGCAATTCGAGTACTTCAGTCACTCTTTGAGTCTCCGGGACTCCAAAAGGCGAAGTCTGAGGGCCTCGGCAGGTGATCTGCGTCGTAGCAGAGCTTTCGAGGAACCCTACCCTGAGAGTCCACTCAGCGCACGCAGCGATCCTGAGTTGAATCTGCTGGAGGGTTCTGGCATTGAAAGACCTGTCGTCGAGGAAAGTCGTCGGCGGCTGGCGCCTCACGGCGGGAGGCAGAGCAGCGTTAGTCGAGACAACTCCACTGGACGCCCAAGCGGCGAGGACGATCGGAGCCAGGAAACAGCCCTCCGGCGCCGCATCTATAACCCTGACGGGCTCTTCGGCCACATGACCGTCGTAGCTGAGCCACCGCACCAGGCCTCTGTGAGCAACTTGACCATGTCTGGTGGCCCTCTAAGACAAGCTTGTTAGCCGCAGGACTGAGGTGATCGTAGGCCGCGCTCCGCCGCGCTCCAGTCCAGACTGCCCATGTAAGCGTTCTTGCCGCGCGGAAAACTGTCCAGAAGCTCGGCCGCCGCAGCTTCCGAGCCCAGTCCCTGCAACGCTTTCCCCACGTAAGCAGCCCGCTGCCGGCGAGCCATGCCTTGGCGAAAATGCGCCAGCACACAGAGGCCACACTGATGGGCGCGGTATGGCCGGCCTCATCCTCCTGGACTTTTTGTTGTTTGGGCAGATTCACCATTCTGACTTCACGTAATTGTCGCGGGAGCTGGCCGGCCTGTCACCAACGTACGCAGAGCTTGTGCATCAGTGTCACACGGGGAGTCGGGAAGAACTTGACGTCTTCAGCAGTCCAGCCATCGGGGCCAGCACTGCCTTTGACCTGAGACAAAGCCGTCTGGCGATGCTCAGCTGTAATCTGCTGCCAGTCCACGGGTTGTCGTTGAGCTTCTGGAAAGCCCTCGAGCAGAGACGCCGCCACAGCAGTAGGGTCCTGCCGCCGCTCAGACAGTTTCTCCCACAGGTCCTGCCAGTGGGCTCGGATGAGCTCCAGGGCCTGCTGCCTATTGCACGCAACCTGCCCATTCCTGACAATGACAACGCTCTTCTGATCCACCTCGCGCCCTTTAATCCAACGACTAAGTTTCTTGAGGTTGCCAGAGGACAGGGCCTTGTCTTTGAGCTCTTTCTCATCTCTCGCTCTCTCGGCAAGACAGGCCAAAATTTCGTTGCGAAGCTTAAGAGCGCGAGCCCTAAACCCCTCCGGAACGCCCCTCCGCCAAAGCTTAGTGAGAAGCTTGTCCAACCGACCCTGGGCCCAGCGCTGTCAGGTTTCCAAAGGAGCCTTTGAGCCTCGTAGAGACGAGCGCGCCTGCGAGCGCGCTTTCGCAGGGGCTCACACGCACCTCTTTCACCGGCAGTTAAATTTGCAGGTTGACCCACTGGTGGACAGCAACAGTCCCCTTACGGTTCTTGCTATGAGGCTGCGCAAGCAGAGCAACGCACTGCTCCCTTAGCCCCGAAGCAACGGCCCCAGACTTGTCTGCAACCAAGGCACGGAGGTGCAACGGTGCAGCTAATCCACAAGGAACATGAAGAGGTCCCACTCATGCTGCGTGACTCATTCAGGCGGCATCTCAGAGCTAGCTCTGTTACTGTTGCTACCTTGCGAATTCGTTTTGCAATACAGCGCGGTCTAGCCCTGAGTTGGAGCATCCGCACGTGTCTGGGGTTCGCACGAAACGGCAGTCGACCTGCTGCCCACCTTCTAAGTCTGACAGAGCGCTTCCGAGTGGCGTGCCTGCGGGACTGGAGCCGCGCTGCCTTGACCCTCCTACCACCGGAGAGAAGACGAGCCTTTCTCGCAAAACGTCAACGAGCCTTCCGAGCTTTAGAAACACCTCTAGTCTGAGGACGTCTGCGCTTCTCGGGTCGTGACGCGTTCTTGGCCACTTCAAAGGTGCCATGTCATGTGTGTCATGTGTAACATAACTATTCCACAAAACACAGAGACAGTTAAGAAACAAATCGATCCCCAGGGAACAAAGAAGGAGAACGATGAACCAAGGCGGTGTCACAATTGGTAAGCCAACTATGTCCCGCCCAACACGCAAGAGCGACGTGAAGCCATGCACACAGAAAGCGGGTAAGCCAGCTCCGAGTGTGCTAATATGCAAGCGAGTCGCACCACCATTGTCCTTGACAGAGAGGTTCCCCTGCACCGCAACGTGGCGGTAGTCGACCGCCATGGCGGCAACGTCAGACGGTCTAAAGTCTTGCAGGCAGCCCGACGGGCAGTAGTCTGTAAACTCCAACGCGGAGCATGGAGCAGGGAAAAAGTGGTGTTCAGGGGAGGTGCCGGTACCACTAGACCCAGGGAGAAACCCAAGGACCAGAAACAAGAACCAGCGCTGAAACCCACTGAAAGCAAAACCAGAGGCTCTCTTGGCCTTCTTACCGGGGCTCACAGCCTCTTGAATTGGGCTTGTCGCAGCCTCTTGCGCAAATTTTCTTTCTTCAGGGCTTAACACAGCCTCCTGATCGAATTTCTTGTCATCTTTTTTCGGGCGCTTCGGCTCCTTGATATTCTTTATGGTATCATTCCCACATTCTGTCAACAATTCGTTGCCAGCCTCCCGCTGGCCCCGCTGCCACCACGAGGAGGTGAAGCTGCTCTTCATGGTGCGATGCCATTTTGTTTGGTCCCTGCGAAGAAAACCGCCTCCTTCATTGTGGCGTTGGTAAGGAACCTTGGACCACGATGCTGGCTTGATTTCCGCGGGCTTCTTCAAGATCATCCGTCCTTTGCCTTTCTTAGGGTCAGGAAAAGGGTTGAAGCGCTTCACCATGGCTGCGACGGAGGCTACAACAAGACTTGACTGATCTCAAAATGCTGTGAATAGCATTTGACATGTTACCGAGCCTTGGTCACGAGAATATGGCGCAAGCCTTCTCGGATGTCTTTCATGCCCATCATACAGCGAGTCAAAATCACAAGCTAAATCCAGGGGCTCGGCTCAGTCAAACATGTTCTGGGCTGCGGCTTCGTCAGCGGCGTCTTCCGCGATGTCCATGGCATCTCTGCACGGACTCGGCGGGATCGTGCTTGATGAGGCTGTATTCTGGGGCACAATGTCTGCCGTGAAAGCGTCCTGAGTCTCTCCTGGGTTAGTCCCCTCATCGAGTTGTGCTCCAGTGATATTGTTCTCGGCGCCAACGTTGGTTTTGCCTCGGATACGGCGCTGTTTATTGTCGTAGACGAAGGAACCAACACGACCCCGCTTCGGAGCCGTGCCGATGGCGGGAAACACTGGCGGCAGACCAAGGCGAGAGCGTGAAGGCTCAGCATCAGGAGGAGTGTCTGGCGAAGAAGGAATGGGGGTCAGCCACATCTGGAGCTGCGTGTTGACCTGGTTGATGTAATCGTCCTTGATGTGGAAAGTCTGGAAGTCGGCCATGGCGGAGTCGATCATGGCCTGCTCCCGGTCGACATCGTCGGCAAAGAACTCTCCCTGAATCAAACGTCCAACCTTATACTGTCCAAGCAGGTGCTTGTTGCTTATCCCTTGACGAGAGTAGATCGCGGTGTAGGTCATCTGCCACTATGCGATGCACAGTGGCCTCACACTTCTCGCTCGGCAAGCAGAGGAGTACGGCCGGATAGTTGTCCTTTTCATAATGGCCATCACGTCTTTGGCATGATCACCCTGGAAGAAGAGCTCGACCAATGCGAAGAATTTCTCCGAGTCAATGCGGGAATCGTCAGGCGAGTCAATGGAGGGATCCTTGGCCGTGTCATTGGATGCAACAGCACGCATCTGATTGCGAGCTAGGCGTGTGTCGTTGTAACGACTCTCGATCGTGCCATCCTCATCGACCGTGACGAAACTTTTTAAGTCTGCAAAGTCCACCTTGGGCCGGGTCGGGTCGTCCAAGAAGATGGCCTCATAGACTTGTGGGACCCAATGGCGGAAATTATCCAGAGACTTTGCCCGACGCCACCCTGGTTTTACACCAGACAAGCCGAGTCGCCGGATATGGTACCGCCCCATCGCCATTGCCATTGTGAGGAGTGCCGGCGTCTTGCCAACGCCTGGGTTCCCGAGCATCATGACCGCTGTTGTCGTGAGCAAAGGATACACATAAGGCAGAACATG